CTAATTCGCATCAGTATTTCTCATGTTATAGATGAAATAATTTTCTCAATTTTTGACAACAGATTCTATGATGTCATACTTTACCCATAATCCTTTGCTTGAGAATCAAGATGGCTGACTACATAATAATGATATAAAGTTGAATATCTAGAGAATGAAAAGTGATATAAAAAAATTGTAAATTGCATTCTCCTACATTTGTGGACCTTTTTCTTCAGGGGTCATTATGTTGCTTAGATTGATGTTTCCTTTAATAACCATTGTTCATAATCGCTAACTTTGTATTATTCAAAACTGCACAAATCCTGCGTTTTCTGATGATATCCGACGACCTGAACGAAAATGGCCAGCAGCCAGAATCAAGGGGGGATTCGCACAGAATTCTGGGTAAATCAAGTGCGCATACTTATTTTCAGCCAATCAGGCGTGCCGTAACAGCGAGTATTTCCTTGAGTTGAGGGAGCAATAGAGGGTAGGGGTTTGGGTTTAAAGTTAGGATTACAGGTGGTAGTACATTGAAAAGTCTTTTACATGGTAATCATGCAATTATGTGTAATCATGAAATAGACGAAAAAGTCACAGAAAGTTTACTCCAAAAACAGCAAAATGTGAAATTCTTGGTTTCTCCTTGCTCATGGCGTTAAGCGAAAATTTCTCATTTTAATAGTGACAGAAAAATTTCAAATTTGTATTATGTGTTATACATTGTAGAAGTTTATGTTGAATGGTCAATGAAAGGCGATTTTAAAGTGGCTTTATAGTCACTTGTCATTTTGGAGTTTGTGCACAGTTAAATAGAGAGTACCCATGATGCTCTGCTTCATTTTATATTTTACTATTTTCTCTATTATGAACGCTATGATACAAATATTTTTAATGTAGAATATCTGTGAACATATTCCCCCACTACTGCGTGTGTACAGAATGGTGTTGGTTGGTTCAGTAAGTTATTTTGGAGAATTGTGTGCAGCATGGAGCTCCATGTGTGTAGCTTTGTTCATGGTGTTATAATGCTGGACATTGTCTTTAAATCATTATAGTTGGAAAAAACAAATCAACAGTCTAAGATTTACTCTTTCCTGACAATAGAGGGCGCAATGTAATAGAAAAAAAAATTTCATCTACTGCTATCTAATTTCAGTTTAGACAAATTCTTTTTGATATCAATAGTTAATTTATACCATTGTTTACTTGTACTGCCAGGTGTAATGCTTACATAATACCATGAAATTAGAGTGTATTTAAAATATTTAATATGCATTTATGCCATGGTATTTTTGATCTTGAGCTATTTCTGTATGTATCCATATTGTGGAGTGGTTGGCATTTTAATACTACCGTACTAGTCCGACTTAGCACCCATGCTTTGCTAAGCGCCCATCCTCTCAAAAATTTCCCAAATTTAACTGGTTTTTGAGCATTATTTGACTTTTTCAAATACCGGTAATTGAATTTATATAATACAGCGTGGATATCGATTGCCGTGAATATGTTTTGAATGCATAGACCACAGTAACCGCTTCAACAAAAAGTTAACAAAAGTGAAAGGCGATAAATCCTTCATTCTATATTCAGTTTACCCGGTACCTTTCAAAAATTCTAACTGCCATTTTTTTTTTAAAAGTAGTGTTTTTTTTTTCGCCAAAATAAATTCCAACAGATCATACTTTTACACTGCATTATCAGAATACCTTCCGTATAACACAGCATTCTGATTGGGTAATACTGTGGAATACTTTATTTTCGCTGGAATTAATTTTCGCTGAAAAGGCTTTTTGGACGTTTTGTATGGAATTTATTTTCACTGATTTTTGATGAGTTTAATGTGAAATATAGGAAAAAAAGTATATTCGCTGGATTTTATTTTCACGGAATCATCCCTTCAGCGAAAATAGCGAAAATCAATTCCAAGCGAAAATAAAGTATCCTACAGTAACACGTAACAGACTTGACCTATCAAGTGGTTGTTGCAGATCAAATAGTGCAAGAAAACATCATGGCAAAAAATGCTTTGCAACATGAGCTTTGTGTATGACCGAACACATTCAACAATGAAGATAATGATGAATATTTTGACTTTGACTGTTTGTTAATAATTTTAACCTTAAAACTGAATTTAACCTTAAATTCAGATGATACATTATTAATATTGTATAAAAATGTGCATTTTTTTGTGACCATTTTTAATTCTTTATTAACTAATTTCTCAATTTTATTTTCCCCAAAAAGATGTGATATCCCCCTCATTGCCACATGTTGAACTAAAATTGTCATTTTCACACTTTTTCAAAGTTGGAGCTGAGTACCTTGAGTGCTAACTTGGATAAAGTACAGTAGTAAGGTACTCCAGCTTCTCCAAATAAGTCATTGAGTTCCTGTTGTGAGTCAAATACAACAAATGTTTGAATTTATCTATTTTTGACAGGCTTCCTCCTTTTCCTATTTCCAAGACTTACATGGGTCATGATGGTGTGGAAACGATGCAAAAAAATATGCCAGTGGGTCAAGCATTCACTCTATATACCTCGTCTACAGAAGTGCCGTGGTCTCACAATATGTCAAAAATGGTCGAGTTAAGGTAAATAAAAACATATTATACCTCATACTTCTATCAGCCTATCAGATTAGTGCATTTAGTGGTCAATATTTTCTCATAATAACTCCCATTTGTGGACAAAGTCCTATCAGCTTTTGCATTGATAGATTTTAGGAATGGCTATTCCATTGAGGGGTGTTGGTGTCGATCACTTTTAATTTGTGAGCGGGTCAAACAACTGTAACATGTCTGCTCAACAAGGTATTGTGCATTACTGGGCTGGATTATGTTCTAAATAAATACAGAAGATTATCATCAAACAGAACTATGTTGGTTGGCTGGTCGGTTGGTCGGTCGGTCTGTTCGTCTATCCGTCCTCACTATGTACGTGGCTAGCACTAAAACTTCTCATTTCAAGATTTTATGATGTTGTCTAAAATGACGTTTAGTGATTTCTAATTATTTCATCAAGGTAATTTCATGATCTTTGTGTATTGCGTATACATTGCTTTTTATTTGGATCTGAGTGGCTCCAGTGCTGTTATAGTTTGTGTGTTTGCGTGCGTGCATGCGTGTGTGTGTGTGTGTGTGTTTGCATGTTGCATGCAGACAAACATTATAAACATGATAGTAATTTTGAAAGGGATTATGGAATATAAATGCATACAAACTGTGATAAACTACTTCTGATTGGAGAAAAGTATGGATGGTGTTAAGAGAGGTCTTGCCGGACAATATTTTACAAAATCTTGTTTTATTTGGTTTAATGGTACAACTGTAGATTCCAGCAATGGTCAATATACAGATTTGTTGACCCCTCAGAAAGCATTTATACCATTGTCCAGTGAAATACATCACTTTTACTTTACAGTAAAAAGCTACTACAACGCTGTACCTGAAGTAGTATTTTCATGTCATTGTTAGCCCTAAAAACAATAGTGCAACAAATAGTAACACAAGAGGGCGCTGTTCCCTTAATGTGGTTTTGGTATATCATTATGCAAATAAGGCATGGAGAGACACATTACAGTATATCACATTCATTAAAAATAAGTTCATTTATAGAAATTCACTATAAATCCAATGATTAGGTGTAAAATTTTTATGCCAAAATCCACAAAGGTCTAAATTAATCCTATTTTCTAGATAAAAGAAAAGTGAAGTATCAAAAAGAATGAATTCGAAAACTTCAAAATAAACTCCAAAGTATCATCTCAGTGTGAGAAGGCAGTTGAACTCTCCACTTTGAACATGTTACAATCTACAAAGTCTGTCTTTGATCGTCAAACTGAGAATCCTGAATGCGATTTGTGGCTTGATGAAACCCTAAAGATGCTGAAAATGTAATCCCAACCAAATCTACAAGAATGCTCTGTGATGTTCGGCTAATGCCAAGAAACATTTGACATAAATACCCTAACTATTACATTATACATGACAACTTTAATGGCTCATGATTACTGAAAAATACTAATAACATTCTAAATGTTAATTTCAGGAGGCTTTTACGAAAGTATTTCTACGTTATCAAAAGAGTAAGCATGACGAAGAAAGACGTCAAACCGTGGCAATTAGTGAAATTTGACTTCTCAGATAAGAAATACGTGTTTCCAATCAGTCCTACACTATACGACTTACTACCAAAAGACTCCCCTTTGATTAATCGCAAGTACAAAACCTGCAGCATAGTTGGAAGTAGTGGCATTCTTCTAAACAGTAAGTGTGGTGCCGAGATTGACACCTCTGATTATGTCATTCGTTGCAACATGGCTCCAAGGTATGGTTTCACTACTGATGTCGGTGAGAAAACTAACTTCATGACCATGAACCCAGCCATATTAAATGATCGATATCACCTTTTAATATCTACTGATGATCGATATCGATTTCTTAAAGACCTTGTTGAGCTTGGTGAAGCTATTCTATGGTCCCCTGCTCTGACTCATACCGGTTCTGTCACACCTCTGCGAGTGTTGGTGGATTTCCTCACAGAGCATCAAGACAAGTTAAAATTGCAGTTTGCCGTCCTTGGGGAAGGTGCCATGCGATACATTAAAGGGTGAGTCAACATATTTGTAAATATTTCATTTTTAAGGACTACAAACAATTTCTAATAAATTTCTTACCCCAAATCGATCCAGGCATTCATTTTCAGCACACAAGAGATAATGTCAGACCAATGTCTGCCCATCTATATGTGTGTCTTTGTCAAGTTTTGTAAACGTTCCACTGATATCTCAAGAACCATTGGCTGAATTGAAATGAAACTTGGCACGCAGCTACTATACTGCAAACACGAGATCTAATTAAATGTTGGTACAAATATTTAATCAATTTTAGCATGTTCACGGTGTATCTTATCTCTTAGATGCATTGAAACTTAGTACATATGTAAATCAATGTTTAATAACAGTTTCTAATTAATATGTGCATATTAACTAGATAATTTGTATAATGATTTCAGTTTGTTTATTCAATTGCTTTTTATACTTGCTATGTAGATTTGTTCATTTTGTATAAAAAACGCTATTTTTGACTTATTCATGAAAACTACCAGCTCAATTGCTTTGATACTGGGTATGTAGGTACTACCGGTATTAGTTGAACTCTGTCAGATTTGTTCATTTCATGATATCTTCAATTCTCTATTTGTAATGAATATATTTGACACTTTTCTGAAAAATGAGATTTTTTGGAAACTACCAGCTTGACTGCTTTGAAACTTGTCATGCAGGCCCCTTTGGTTGATCACTATAAGATTTGTAACAACATTTCAACAGTTGTAATCACCATGACAACAACCATATAAACCACCTTGATTGTGATATAGTAACAATAACCATAACAAATAGCTAATTTTTATTGTGAGGTTACATATTTGTTTGTTTGTAACACATTTCTTCATATGGGTGCATAGTTTGTTTCAATATCTAATAGTATTTTGAAATTAATCTGTGCATAATAATTAGTTTACTAATTATGTTTTCAGCTTGTTTATTCTGTATCATAGCTTCAGTTTAATTTTCAAATGGCTTGAAACTTTGTACATGCATAGTGTATGTTTAGTTGAATGTTTAACCCTATTAGGAATATTAATTAGCCAATTTGCATACTAATTTCAAAATGCATTTTTTTAATTTCTTTATCAAAGGAATTTCTTCTTTGTTCAGAAAGAATTTTCTTTGAATTTTTCCTGAAAATTGGATTCAACAAAACAGCATGAATTATATTGATTACATTTCTCAGAATATTGCTAAAAAATTATTTTAAATTGTTTTTCATTTAGATTTTGGAAGATTTCTCATAACTTCACAGAACCTCGCATTACAACTGGTCTTTTCATGTACACCATAGCTGTTCCAATCTGTGATGAAATCAGACTGTATGGCTTCTATCCATTCTTGAATGACACTCACAATAATATCGTCCCTTGGCATTACTACAATCCAGCCGCTGATCCTTCCTGGTTGAAGACTGTACACAAGATGCCAGAAGAATACAGCATACTGCAGAAACTCCACAAACAAGGAGCTCTGAAACTTATCAATAGAAAGTGTAAGGGATAGCTGAGCCTCAGTTTAAGGTCAACTTCAACCTTATGAATGCCATTATTTATACCACAGTGACTGAATTGCGCATTTTTTACAAACATTCTACCGACAGATCACATATTTAGATCATGGTAAAATAGATAAATCTGATTGGATAAATAAAACAAAATGGCGGAATGTTGAATTGACAATGAGGGCGCACTTCATTAAACACATTAGCTGAACAGAATCTGCAAAGGTATTCGATGGATTGCACAGTGGTAGACACTTTAATTGCAGAAAGAATACATATAAACATCTGCTATATAAATTTTCAAAGAAATAAAATCGACTTGTCTAACTTGAATATTGTTTGAGAAAAGAGAACTCAAGTACAAGAGGTTGGCCAAGTTATCTTGTTTGTTTTTTTGTGTAGCAAATACCCAAAATATAGCCGTGTTCACAAAATGGAGGAGTGATCGCAAAAAAACAAATGACTTGTGTTCTGTGGGAAGTTCAAGTTGCTACAAATATTCTTCAGAGGTTAGAAACTTGACAGGCAATGAACCCATCACTAGTTCTGTGGGTGGTCTTATCTTTTTGATGCGACAATATAGTCATCAAAAGTCATCCAGCAATTGTTAAGCCATTTGCATATTGTACAAATAGTGTTTTCTGTTTAGCTGGTTCTGGTCATTCCAGAAATAGATGTCACGTGTAGAAAATCGTACTGGTTAGAGCGCATAGAAATCATAAAATTTCTTTATTTTTCTCCTTGCGATCATTCCAATATTTTGCATTTTTGCTATTTTGGTGAATTTATTAAAATCTCTTTAAGGGCGGTGGTTGTCACACCGCATCCTGTTCCATATGGGACTCGTAGCACCGTATACAATGCGTGCAAAATACATTGTTTATTTACATGAAATTCAAACACGCGCTGCACAACGACCACCGCCCTTTAACTTTTGAAGAAAAAAAAACAAGGCTTGTTTACAAATGTCACTACAGTGACGTATGGAACAATGTATTACTTGTATATTTGTTCAAGGAATGAATTATGTTTTTGTGAATCGATATTCTGTTATTACAAAATTGTACATAATGTTAATGATTTTATTTTTTTATAGTAAATATATTTACTAAAAAATGTGACTTGATCAATAATTTCCATGCAAACATTGCTGTCAGTGTTTTTAAATTTGTAAAAATTATTGTTTCTATTGTTACATTCAATTTGTATATTGATAATAACCATGGCAATCGATATGATTCACCCTTGATCTAAAATAACTGGAAGAAATTTTTTTCAAAATGTAATTTTGCAAGCTCTCACTGCACGTTTCCGCTGTCAGCTTACACTAGACTTCATTCTGTGTCATTACTATAGCCACTTGATTGGTTAAAGTGGGGGAGTTGTCACCTGCGCATGCGTCAGATGGCCATAGCGTGTCATTGTTTATAAAACACACGTCTACCCATGAGCTTTTGCGTTTTCAGCGTGTGTTATTATCGTCGCTTGGGACTCAATTCCTGTGCGGTTTAAATTATTAATGAACTGAGTGTCAACTTTCTTTGAATACAACAAAATCACACAGGCCTTTAGATTACAGATAGATTTTTCTTTGAGCTTGGATAAACTCATGCAGACAGCATGATTAAAAAAGAAATGAGCAAGTGAGCCTGTAATATTTCAAATAATCACCATTTTATATGCAGTTGTTTTGTAACCAGCATATCCGCTCAGATTGGCTGCTGTTATCAGTACAAATTTGTTGAGGGCAGAAAGCCAGGAGTCTAGTGTAGCAAACAGAAGAGAAGTGCTGTGTTAATGGGTAGCCAAAATATATCACACAATTATCATTTTGTTAACTTATTACTATTCATGGGCCAGTATTTCCAACTTATAGTATGTGCAATAATCATTTTTATAATATCTACAATTCTAAGGTAGTTTCTGTTGAAAATGGTTAATACCGTATTCTCCTGACATGTAATTTTGTTTTGTCAATTGAGTTTTAGTTTGTTTGGAAATACATACTATGTTATAAACAGTTCTTGACTGGTGGATATGTGAACATTCAGGTCACGGTAAGTAAATGTTTAAAATTACTTCCCATCTGTACACCCACAACGAATAAACAGTGGTCTTGTAACATTTTTTTCATATTCTGCTTTAATACAAATTTTGAAAATGCCACTTTATTTAATTGCATTCTCATCAGATGGCTGATACAAAGATGGCCATAATTTAAAATGTTTTTGTGGTGTTGCTTACTTGGAATGGAAACTGATTCAATTTAAAATGATCTTTAATGCTGATAAAATGTTATCTGCCCTAGTGTCTGGTATGTAATTTTGAGATGTGAATATTAAAGCGACAATAGCCCCGATTATCAATTTTTTTTCTCAGATTTGTATTTTTAATAAATCATTTCCTGTGTCAAGTGATAAAAGATTGTTGAAGGGTTTCACCTGTCACCAGAGGGCGCCATTTATTAGAATAGTTTTGTCAAGCGAACGTCACGATACAAGATGACAACTTACCTGGAGCCCTGGGCATAATGTCACAATAGTGTGGAGTCAAATTCAGTTTTAGTCACTCTACTCATTCAATTGTGACTAACACAATATTTAGCCATCTTTACAGTTACATTTGAACAAAAAATGTAAAAAAAATCATGGCTATTATCGCTTTAAACAAATATATTTGTGTAAATACATGTATTGTAAAATAGCCTGTGAAAACAAGCCAATGATAAACATTGATGTGGTGTCAATAAACAACATGGCTAATAAGATTAATTTTCACAAACAAGTAGCTTGATAAAATTCACCATTAAAAAAGTAACAAACAGTCTTGTTTATTTTCAACATTTTTATTCATTTCTTGAAATATTGCACATCATTTTTGTACAAAAAGTTGACAATAACACAATTTACACAACCTATTGTGACATAGATGTTATTTTTAACTTGCATCACTAACTTACTGGATATATTTTTACTGTTCAAAAAAATAGTTCATGAATAAACTTTCAATACATGCATGAAACCCTGTTATGTTCTCACATTATTCCTATACCTTGAAGCGTGTGTTTGAATTTTGTGTAAAAAAACAATGTATCGAATACAACGCGGTGCAATGAACGTCAGTAATTATTTGATGTCATCCTGAACACTTACAAGACAAATTGCAATCCTAGTTTGTGTTCACACATTTGGTAAATGGTTTAAGATTGGAGGAAACTACACTACCGGTAGTTTGAATACAAATTACCCGATATGCACAAGTAGAATGCAAAGATTTAGATATTGACTGATGGGGCCCCGAGTAGAGATCAAATACCCAAATGATGCACGACACAAGTGCATTATCCAACTTACAATACATGTATGTCAATAGGTGATTTTCCGCTCAACTGTAAGATCTCGCGAGTTGTGTGAAAGACGCGAGCCGAACATCTGGTGCAAAAATCAAACAATTTTATTTTGAACTCTAATTACGTAGCTCACATCGAAAGGCCGACCTTTGATAGGGGAATATTGCGTTTAGATACCCTTACTTCATCAAGATTGACCATCATGAAATATGTATAGCACATTATTGAGCATGGAAATATCCTCGTTTGTCGAATCCCCACGTGATGTTTGTCGCCACTACGACCTTCATTTTTTTCCTGTTTTTACATTTTATTTCACGCATAACAGAGTCTCGCAGTGAACTGAAAATGGTCTATTACATAATTATCAAAGTTATTGCAGGTGGACGTTAACTACATAAGGGACGACGTCAAAAGATCGATGTCGGATAAAAAACTTAATTCCTTTAGTTTTTTTCAACCCACCCCCACTGAAACTTATAATTGATAAATATTGGTCATGGCGTCAGACTATATTCACCATTAAATACAAATGGATAATCGGACAGTAGTATGGCATAGCAGTTGGTTGTCGGGTGAGTGTAAAAAGACTTTACAAATGCACCTCATTTGACACTCGGACCAAACCATTTTCTCGTCTTGGATGTGTGTTTTTTTCATTTCATGTTATTTCTGCCCATGATTGGATAGAAAAAAATGAACTACAAATACTCCAAGATTTTTTTGATTTCATTAAAAAATAAAATCGTTTTTGTAGGATGGAAACTTTTTGAGGTCAAAACCCCCCACCCCCAAACTAAAGCAAATAAGTTTTTTATCCGACATCGATCTTTTGACGTCGTCCCTAATCCACTTATGACCGTACTTTGACCGTATTCAAATTTACAAGCAATTATCGGAAATAATTATATAGTTTATCACTACATTTTACTTGCTGAGTCACTAGTAGGTGCACAATTTTTATTTTATATAAAATGGAGAGAACAAACCATTTACTGGTTGATAAATAAATAAATAATGATACTGTTTTGACAAGATGACCACATTCACAAGCAAATTGTTTTGATTTTTTTGATAAAATTCATGAAGCAAAAACTTTTTTTTTCCATAAAAAAAAAAATAATTTGTATGTTACATTCAACAAATACCAAAGTTGTTCTCAAGAGGTATATTGGTAAAATGAACTGGGAAAGCAAACTCAAATCATGTATTGGAATACTGCCATCAATGGTTGACGTGAAAAAAATGTCACCACGTTCATCAAAATCTAACCTGTACAACACAATTTAAGTCATTCCAGAATATTATTGTCTTCTCATTCAAAGTACACAAAACCATTTTCATTATTCCATTTTGTGAGTCAAGAAACATCACACAATTTTGTAGTTGGCGAACATTTCACTGGGGTTCTTAAGACAGATCATTACAGCCACATTTACAATAGTCTTTAATAATCGTAAGAATAAATTGATTTATTCTCATTTTCATAAATATAATATAACCTGTCGAAAAGATCTAAAACCTCACCAATGGACGTAACACACATGTACCCACAATGCAAAGAGGAAGTGACATCAATGATCTGAACCTCAGGCAGAGTACCTATATTCGCTACCATTGGCTAGCAGCAGTATAACTGTTTTACCACTGATCCACACAAGACGTACAAGTTTGAGTACATGAGGCTGATTTCCAGCTTCAAACTGTGCAGTGTTGTAAACTTTCACACATTTTGTGCCTGAGCCAATACCTATCGCACCGAATAGAGTATTGCCAGTCTGCAAGGAAGAAAATATTTATTTATGTATATTTAACTAATTAAGCAGAATTACGTCACACTTCTAAGTCTATATTGTGAATTCTTATACTGTAGAATACTTTATTTTTGCTGGAATTAATTTTTGCTGAAAAGACTTTTGGGGTGTTTTGTATGAAATTTATTTTCACTGATTTTTGACAAGTTGAATGTAAAATAGGTATATTCACTGGATTTTATTTTCACTGAATCATTCCTTCAGCGAAAATTAATTCAAAGAGAAAAATAAAGTATTTTACAGTATTGACAGCTTGACATACACAACTCAATAGCAGCATTGAAAACTGTGGCATTTTTACTAAACTTCAGAGTATACCTTATAGTAGAAGTCTACTCATGATTTTTGAGAAAGTTGATCATAAATAGTACGACAATGATCTTTGGTTTATTATGTAAAATCCTAATATTTCTCAAAAGTTGCTATTTAACTCAGTGTTAACCTTTTCACTGTCGTTTTCCTTTTTTCATCACAAATTCACAGAATAGTCCTGCATTGTATTTATAATCTGCACTTTCCTTCACAAGATTGAGACAAAAATACTACAAAGTATGCACTCAAATTATAGGCTGAACAAATTATATATTGTGAATGAATTGAACTGAATTATTTAAAAAATCTGGGTTTTAAAAAGTATCATACAACACTTTTTCTTTAACCCTTTCACCACCAGACTTTCTGGCCCCAATTTTTCTTATATATTTGTAGTATTTTCGTAATAACCTTATTATTATACATCTTTTCCTCCCAAGGATACACCATTGAGAATGCCAAAATCCAAAATGTTTAGAACAGATTTATCGAACTTTTTGTGTGGGGTCAGGCCAAACCCTGGTGGCAGCCATGTTTGTTTTTATTATTAGAAGACGCTTACGTGCTTAATTGTTCCATTTTTGGAATTATATGGTAGGATGAAAATACCACAAAATTATGGCTTTGCAGTGACAGATGTGTATATATAAGGATCTAACTGAATATTGAAATCAAGAATAAGTTGCCATACTGGTATATTTGGAGAAATATGGAAAAGAATGCCAGGTAATTAGAGCCAGTACTCGGCACATCTACAGGGCGATCACAAACTCACCTGCCAGAAGAAAAGACGGTTATCTCCGTAAGAGTATGTCGCTAAATACTTTCCATCTGGTGAGAAAGACAGTGCGGTGACAGCATTCTGATGTCCAGATATCATCTGTTGGCACAAAACAGTACAATGATTAAATGTATTCTAGCGGTGTGGTGTAGTTGCATGCATGTCATACATACATACCCTCTGATTGCATAAAGGTATGACTGTAAAATAAAGCATTTACCTCATGGTGCGCTGGTAATTAGTCTGTGTGCTGGTAACATGGAAATCTACACCGGTCTATCTCTTTCTACTACATGCAATCACTAAATGATACAGGATTGGTTTACTGAATTTTATACACCATGTTATGAACTCGCCTTACTTTTAGTATTACATGTACTGATATTATGGACTTACAACTGGAGATTTTAATAATGAAATAGTATAATCCATTTTAATATAAAAATTCACTGATTATCACAGCACCAAACAAGCAATGGTTCTGAATTGTGTGTGCATCCCATTCATTTTTATATTGTGTATACCGGTAGACAAAATAGTGATGATTCACTGCAAATTAATCCAGAATGTTATCAAACACGTCTATGAATAGAGATCAGCTCAACTCATCACCAGCTGAAAGAAAGATACTGTGGAATACTTTATTTTCGCTGGAATTAATTTTCACTGATTTTTCATGAGTTTAATGTGAAATATAGGAAAAAAAGTATATTCACTGGATTTTATTTTCACGGAATCATCCCTTCAGCGAAAATAGCAAAAATAAAGTATTCTACAGTAGACAAAATAAATGAAAAAAAGCAACACCAGCAGGTGTTAAAGGGACACACACACTAATGAATTTTCTTATCACATATTATATGCAAGATCTCATCATATGAATTGTTTTACCGACAACATCTATAATCAGGGATTGAAATTTCTAACCTCAAAATGTATTGTGACAGAGCCACCGACCATTTTTGAGGAATCCATTTGAACAAGCATTTGGATCCAGGAAATTATTAGATGAGGTCAGTGTAAACAAATGTCATATGCACAAATCTTGCCGATAATAAATACCATATACAAGTACAGAGTAAAAAATCTGGATAAGTGAAATATGTAAATTGAACATTTTTGTTTTTTGAACATGTTTGCCTCCTCCTTGTCACTTCCACTTCCTTCTTTTCATCACAAATCAGTGTTGTCTGCACTTTCCTTGAGAAGATTGGAACAAAAATAGCCACATTTTTTTTAGTAGAAAATGAAAATTGACTAAAATTGTGTCTGTTGAATCCAAAATAAAGGTTCATGTCCAAAAATATTGAAGACTATGAGAAAGAAGTGCAGAAAAACTTGGGAGAGAAAGTCTGGTGGTGATAGGGTTAAGCCTGAAACAATTTTGTTATTTATTTTTTTACTGACGCCTTTTCATAAGATATTTGCCATAGAGGGCATACTTTTCAATTGAAAGTCAATTAAAAAAAGGCTTCATGCACTATGTTTTTTTTCTGGTGACCAGACTAACAATTTTTTAAAGCCTGAATTGTTCCCCAATTATTAATTTTATGCGTTGCCAATAAGAAATATTAATTTTATGCGTTGCCAATAAGAAATATTAATTTTATGCA